ATCGCGCGCAACAGAAACTGACACGAGAAATTGCGAAGCATGATGCTAAGCTTGCTCATCAGAACTTGCAGGGGCTAGGCTTGAGCAGGGACATTAACGTCTTTGTTTCTCATGAGGTTAGGCGGGCGTCAGAGTTGATTTAACGTGTTGCTTTGCTTCCGGGCCACCCGTCGTCTAGTTTTTTGTTGATATGCTGATGTGTGTGTGTGTGTGTACTCGGTTTGTTCACCTTTGTATTTGCTTGACGTTGCTTGTGTGCGCGTCGTTTGTTTCGTTTGTTTCTGAGTGCTCCTTGTGCGGGCACACCGCTGTGCTTCGCTTGGACATGTGCTCGCCCATCAGGACCGGCAAGGCTTAGCTCCGCTGGAGGAGCCGGATCAGAACGAAGCCATTGCGAGCCTTGAGTAGGACACGTAAACAGCGGGCCCCCCGCTTGAAAGTATCACCAAAACTTGTTTGTTTTTGTTTTTTAAGGTGATGTTTAAACCCACCAAAAAGGGAAAATTAGAGGGAAAACAATGCACACCCTAGCCTTCAATGTTGAAGTTTAACTAGGACCTCCGGAACGTAGATGTTTTACTCGCAAGTGCGGAGTTTTACTTGAAGAGATGTTTGCATGTCTATGTTGCAGGTGTTTGGCTGCCACTCTTCCAATGGATGCAACCTTTAGATCAGATGATGTTGTATTTGCACGCCTTCTGGGGTTCTGCCAACAAAACGGCCGCGTGAAACAGCGTGAACTTCGCGTGAAACGCGGTGTTTACCCGTGAACTGCGGCGTTTACCCATGAAGTTCGCGTGAAGTAGGTAGCCCCCCAGTTTCCTTTGATACACCCAATTTACAAAGCGGAGAAGAAGAGAATGCGGGTGACTTTGCCTTGGGGGCTTTAGAAGGAATTGTGACCTGGGCCTTCTGAGGGCAAGGGGTAAACACTGCATTTCCGGAACTACGGTGTTTTACCTAGTGAAACATAAACATGCGGTGTTTAACATCAACGCGGGAAGGTAAGGGCACATGTTGGCCCTCGTGCTTGGCTGTGGTTTGGGCCTTACTAGCAATGGGTCTAGACTAGACTTTGGAGCCCACTGCTTAGCTGCAGGACCCCTTGGAGCTCTTGGAGTGGAAGATGCCCAAAGAGGACGCCACCAGGCGGTTTGTTGTATTTGACGTGGCATGTCAGCCCAGTTGCTTTTCTATGTTTTTTTCTTTGGCCCAACAGGCAGGTACCCTCCCACCAATTAACATGGAACCTGACAGGGGTTTTGGAGGACCAGTTTGCTCTTGAAGCCGGGTCTTTGTCAGGTTCCATTTAGTGGGAGGGTGGTATGGGTGCGGTAATCTTCCCCCCTAAGGATAATAAACATTTTCGAAAGGGGGGACCCGACCAAAACGGTTCTCCCCGCTTGCACCTGGGAGGACACTACTGGCTCTGGGGCCCGCCCGAAAACTAGTGCCCCTAAAGAAGAACTGGTGCATTTGTTCTGCGGGGTTAGCGTCCACAATTGAAATATTTCAAGGCCTACCCCCCCCCCCCGAAAAACATAAATTGCGTCCCCCCCTCCTCCCGCCCCTTAGGGACGGGGGTTGGTGCGGTTGTCCTGTCTTCCTGGGCCCTTGAACACCCAGGCGTTTAACCCTTCCTTTGGTTCGAGGTATGGCGTCTGAAAAACGTTTGGAAAGGCATGTGACCCTCACCTCAAGTCCAAGGTTCGTTTGGTTTTGCGTGTTGTTTTTTTTTTTTTTTTTTCTGAGGGTACCCTTATCAGGTTAGTTTGAAGGGCAACCACCACCGTTTTGGGGTCTCCTCTATTCTGAGAAATACCCATTTGTTGCGATGAACCGATGAGCGGGCAAAAGAGGAAAGCAGGGATACTGGAGGGTTGCCCTGACAGAGAGTAATTTGTTTGTCATGGTTCCAGGAACAAGCCAATCCTGTATCCCTGCTTCCGCATCCTGGCTGCTTCGATCGACCTAGGCCGATTCAGGATGTGAAGTGCTCCAATTCGCCCAAGTCCGTCTGTGTAGTCCACGACAGCTCAGGGAAATCATCCTAGGTCCGCGCTTTGGGTCCGCCCTTTTGGTCCGCCCTTTAACTCCACCCGACTTGGACCCTTTGGGCATTCTGTTTTGTCTATGTCCCTCCCCAGGCCATCCGTGCGGGCCGTGCTCGGAGTGAAGCGGAGCTCGCCGAACACAGGCGGAGTCGCTTGCGAGGTTTGACTCATTGCAGGCCACCGGACCCATAGAATTCCCTATTGGAAGATTGGCGGGTGCCAAATGACGAGGAATTTGATGTACTGTTGACCCCATATATAAATCAACCCCAGTTTGTGAATAGGGTGTGTCACTGGCTTTGGAATCATCATTTTGGAGGGGAACACCCCCTATTTGCAAACTGGGGTTGATTCATATAGGGTCAACATGACTTTCTACCCACTTTCTAATCTTCCATGGGAGGCTACAGGATGGAACAGGGTTTGCTTGTCAATATGGTTTTACCATGTTGGCCATCAGGAGGAGAGTCTCTACCCTGTCCTTTTCAAATCAATCAGCGCACATCGCTGTCCGGCATCCGCTGCGCCCATCCAGGCGCATCCACCACGCCGGCCGAGCCCAAGGCGCTACTGTACGGTGGGTCACCAGCGTGGCACAAGTTGTTCCTTTCCTTCCCTGCAGAGAGCCACAGAACCTGACAGGAGCCTCAAGTTTAGGGGCATGTTCAGGTACGCAGAAGGTATCCGCCTCCCTTTTTGAAAGCTAGCAGGATGCTCAGTAGCGCCGCGTAGGCTTGTAAGTTAGGAGCATTCGCCTGGCGCTGCTCGAACTTTCTCTTCATGCATTCTTCGACGCGATCCCTTCGATGCTTCGATGGTTGTTTTACTTCAGTTGTTGTTTAAAAGTTTAATCAAGCCCACCCCCCAAAAGTTGACGCATCCAAGAGTGATTCTGGCCCCATGATTTCACCACTATCAACCTCACCCTCAAGTGGTGAAACCACCAACCAGTTTCTGACTTCAATCCCCAGAAACTGTCAAAACAATGCCCCCAGCGGTTCCAAGCATCTGCTAAGTCTAGCCGAGGATAGCCACTGGCAGAGGACAGTCAAGGGCTTGAGCACGTAGCACTTCAGTTCTCAGAGTCACTTAAATGTTTTCAGAACATTTCAGAGCTGCATCTGGGAACGCAGTAAGCTGGCCACTGTTTTCCCCCAGCCAAGTTTGGATTATTACAAATTGAGACGAGATGACACCCGAATTGATGCTTGAGGTGTTCGAGCCCATCCAAAGTTGGGATCTTGGATGATCTTGGTGGCTCCCAGCCATCCCCTTAGCTTTTTAGCCTTTTAGTGATTAGTGGTGGTTTCCATTTAACCCACTAAAATTTGAGCTTTTAGCAGGGGGTCTGAGGGCAGTCCAGGGATAAAGGCCCGAAGAAAACGGACTGGCACGTGGCCCGCGGGGTCGTTCTCGGGCTGGCTGCGGCTACAAGGCCCAGCGCCTCGTGGACTACAACAGCGACTCGGATGCCGAAGCGAAAGGCAAAAGGGCGGCAGTGCTTCAAGACGGTGGGTGTGACACGGCGTATCCCCCAACCAAAAAACATCTAAAAGGTTTCCTTCAAACATGGGTGCTTTCCAAAAAAGCATGAATCATGGGTGCTTTCCTTTTGGTTTCCCTTCAAAACGCAACCACAACCAACAGGGTGCCCAGTTGAAGGCCGTTTTCCATGGGTTCGTCGCGTTTGTCTCATTCATAACAGCGGGCACTCACTTTGTTGCGAGGCATGCCACGCACATGCCTCTACTCAAGCATCATGCCATGAATATCCCAGCTGCTGCGTAAGCCTCATTGCTTTGGCAGCTGCAAATTTCAGACTCGGAAAGTTGGGGAGGGCAGGGTCGCAGCAGAGGCTTGAGATGCCAATTGAGTGGCGCTGTTTGTCCTTGCTCAAACATGTATAGAGGTGGAACAAAGAAGCCAGCACCATACTGCAGCCGCGGAAGGTTGCGCAAGATGTGTGCATTTTCCCGCGGAAGCTCGCGCAAGGGACGGGATGATTTGCTTTTGCCCGAATCTCATGATGGTTTCATGAGTGGCTTCCCTCCTGCCGTTCCCAGCGCGGCTCGGGTGAATTGGCTGCCAGCTTCTTGGGGGGAGCGGCAGATGAACCCAGGCGTTGCGGACATCGGGAGTTCACGGCTACGATGCTCGCACTTTGGGTAGTTTCAGTCATTCATGTGCTGTATGTTGACTGCAGCCTCTTGACAGCTTTATGCACCCCTTGGTGCTTTGGATCGCTGGTTTCATGTGGTGCAAAATTGCAAAAGTGTTGCTTAGACCAGGTGGGAATGACCAGGTTGCTCTGATACGGAGCCGGCAAACCCCGCTTGCTTGACACACATTTTGTGCATCTCAATATCTGCCAACAGAACATTACGGCGTGCGGCTTTGCATAATTCAGGATGAACAATGCCACCTTCCAAAATGATCCTCGCACACGAGAGTGCTGGCGGCTGTTAACTGGCTCATGTTGAAGTGTGAAAGCGATCATTGTAATGGTCTTCTCGGATGGCTAGAAGATCTGATCTTTATGGCTATTTGGTTGGATCTTTGGGCTTTAGCCTTTTGGCTGAAATCAAGGTGGTTTTCATTGAACCCACAAAAAGGTATTCACTTTTTGCAGAGGCGCTGTTACGGCAACCAAGATGGGTAACCTATGGTAAATCCAGCCTCTTTGAAACTTTCGTGTTGGTCCATGCTTAGCATCTCGGGCTTCAAGGTCGACTTTCCGTGTGTTAGGACATCTATTGAGGGCGTGTGGGAACCCCCCCATTTCTCCCGCTCGCCTTGACCAGACTGATCGATTCTGGCTCCCGGCAAGGACTGCTATGCAGAAAATTTGTATTTTAGCGAGAGTCGCAAAGAACCCAAGAAAGCAAGCGACACAATCGAACCAGCTATTCACAAAGCAAGCCAACGAACACGCAAGCAAGTGGACACTGCCAATCTAACAAGCCGTGCGCATCGGACGAGACTTTCGATGGCACGAGGAGGGGGAGAGGGAGGGAGAGGGAGGGAGAGGCAGAGAGAGAGAGAGAGAAAGAGAGAGAGCGAGAAAGAGAGAAAATAAAGAGAGAAAGAGCAAGAGGGAAAGAGTGAAGGAGAGACGAAAGCAGGAAGCAACTAAAGATTAAACCAGTGAAGCCAAGCGAGCCCGCTTGTGACCCACTGGGCTCCCTGGCGCCAGGCCTTTGGCTTTTGCTCTCTTTGGCTGCGGCGACTCGACCGTTTTTGGGCGGGCGCTTTGCTGCGTTTTCTCGGGTGTCCGCGGGATTCCTTCTCTTACCCACCTCTCGGAAGGATAATTCGTGTTTAAAGCCTCCCAAATGGGACGGAATTATCTATACAAGTGCGAAAGGAGCCCAGTTGTTCCTTTGATCAGCCCGTGTCTTTGGGGCTGTAGGGTTTAAGGACTCGCATTCTTAGTTCCATTTGCTGAAATGTGTCTATGTGTTATCTTCCCCGGATGGTTTTAAATGGAATCGATTTCACTACTGGACACAGGTTCTCATTTTTTTCAGGGGGCGAAGAAGCAAATGGAAGCAAGGGCAGGACAGAAAGGAATTGGCGTACTTGCAACATTTTTAGGGCACCGCATTTTCAACATGGGAAGGCGTGCGTTTTCTAACCCAATTTGCAACAGGGGCCACTAGCACACAGTGGAAGGAAACCACCTGAATCTTCCAAAGAGCGTTTATCTCCCGCTCGTGCAGATTACCTCGCGTTTATCTGAAAAGCGCTCGGTTCAAAAAGAAGCGCTCGGATTCGGATATCGAAAAGAAAGGAAAAAAGGGAACTGTCCATCGTGCGGGCTCAATATTCGCTTTCCGCTACTCATGTGCACGATTTGCAGCGGGCGCCGAGCGCGACAAAACTAGCACTTGTTGATGTGCGCTCGTGCGGCGGGAAATTGCGCTGTTATAGCGGGAATGTGCGCTCGTTGTGCGGCCTTTCCCGCTCATCCAAGAAAGCTGCTGCTTTGTTCAAAATATTGACCGCATTGCGCAAAGTGTGCTGCGAAGTAGCCTCAATTCCTTTGCGAATCAGCCTTCCAGTTGGCTAATCAACGCTCGAAGACTAAATAGCGCTTGTTTGCCAAAGAAACGCTCGCAAGTTCTGTAGCAGCCAGTATATATAGGTATAGGTTTGAAGGGTTTGCAAGTAGCTGGCGGACATGGATGATGGATGAGCAGAGCAGAAAGATGCCATTTCAGTGAGAGCAAGCATTTCGGCAAGGTCCCAGGATGATTTGGATCAATTCTCGGCCATCGAGCAGTGACAACTTTGAAGGATTAACGTGAAATGGGTTTGTCTCTGCATGAGGTGGTTGGCATCATTTTGGCTTCACTTAAAAGCCACCAAAACAGGTTCCAACAAAAGGAACCAGCGAATTCCCCGCCGGATGCTTGGCGGGTTTGGAGCGGTTGAAACAAGTTGTGCGATGAGAGGATGCTAGCATACTTTGTTTCTTTTTGCTTTCGTGAAGTCTGGTTGTTGAAGCGTAATGACGTTTTGGTGACTCCACCGGTTTGTGAAAACAGGTACGCGATTCATGAAAGGGAAGGGGGAGGACTGCCTTTATGAACCTGAAACGGGAGTCCCACAGCAAAGTGCAATGATATTGCTACACGTGCTCCGAAAGGAAGTAATGATTTCACAGGGAGACCAAGGTTTCACATCAGCCAACAGTCTCTCTTTATATTGGCTTGTTGCGTGCAGTGTTTGCATGCTTGCTTGTTTGTTGACTTTGCATGTGCTTAAATTCATGATTCCGTGGGTTTGGTAGCTGTGCTTGCTGGATTGCTTGATTTGCCATGTTTCCTAGGTATGCAGTTTGTGTATTGAGAGAGGGGACGTACAAGCACTACCCAGGGAACTGAATGGGTAGATGTCTGAGGCTGCTCTGAAGACCTGCATTTGACAGGTGTTTTCACAAGGGTCATGTTTGAGGGAGAGCCATTGTAGGGCATGTGTCCAAATAGGTGGACGCTCCAAACTGACGGTTTTCTCTTCGGTTTCCCTGTAAACCAACCTGAAAATATCGCCGTAGCATTTGGCCCTTTTGCCATTCCGGGTTTCCTTCATGTTCCTTATTCACCACAAGTTAACTCGGGGCCTGAGTCTGGCCAAGAAAAGCTCAAAGCCACATGCACCCACTGAGCTTCAGCCCAGGGGCAGCCTGCCTTGCCCAATTTGCGAGGCACAGAAAACCGGGGCTCGGCTTTGATGCACCTGGGGGGGTCCTTCTCTTAAGTGCGGCTAGGTGTTCGTTGTGACCGTGCCTTTCGGGTTGTAAGTAGAATTTAAGGACTCACTGGGTTAAGATGCATTCTTACCTCCGTTTGCTGAAATGATTATGTTTGATTTTCCCCTGTTGGTTTTAAAGCGAATCGATTTATGCTCTCAGTTTTTTCCTGGGGGCGAAGAAGCAAATGGAAGCATCTGGTTTACCGCGAAACTTATGGGCTGCGCCCACTGCAGTTCTTCAACCCTTTTTGTGTTGACGGCTTCCCCCGCAAAAATCGTCAACCTAGAACGGTCTCCCTTTTCTGGCCATCTACTCAAAGGGGCAGGGTACGTAGTAAGTGGTTAGTAAGCCTCGCTATAACCCACTTAGGAGACTTATAACCATGGTAGGTGGGCTATAAGTTATAACCATGGTTTTTACCCACTTACAAAGTACAATGCCCCTTTAAGCAAGAATGTGGTCTAGAAGGGTCAAGGCCAGCGAGTTGAGCCAGGGATGTGACTTCTGTTGTGTGCAGCCGCTGAAGGTTCGGCTTGTCTTTGGGTGCAAATCTTGCATGTTGGAACAATTGCTTGATCTTAGGTGATTGGCGGGGTGGGGGGATCCCCCCGCGTTGCCCTTTCGGTTTAAGCACAAGGCTGCTTTGACTTTTTCTCCGCGGCCATGCCGGAAACTAGCCTGCTGGCTTTACACGATGAGCTTGCGGCCATCGTTCGGTGAGCACGCCTGCTGTTGGGCAGGTCTTCAGGCTATTTGCTGGCAAGCTGTAGTGACTCAGCGTGGTGGAGTTCCATCGTTGCGAATCCTGACAGCGTTGCCGCGTGAGCTAATCCAAGGTTGCCTGCTGGCTATTCCTGCAGGGTCAGAGTCCAAGGTGGCGCAAGCGGGGCTTTTTTGGAGGGTGCGCGGCGGCGGCGTCTTGGGCTAGCTGACGAGGAACAGGCGCCTGAGCCAGCTGGCGCAACGGCGCCTTCTGTAGCCGTGACCCCGGCAACCGTGGTCAAGACAGGCGGGCGAAGCCGAGCTTGCACCGCTGAGCTTCGAAGACAAGGAGGCCATGTTCAAGAGGCTCCGGGACAGAAAAGGGGTCCTGTGAGGCCCGAAGCGGAGTTCGCCGAGAACCAGCTGATGGCGTGGAGGCGGAATGACCCTGAAGCGGATGCGCTGACTGGCTGGATGGGATGCAAAGCCCGCTACGAGCCCAAGCAAATTCATAATGAAACTGTTGCTGGAGCAGATCCTTTGCTGAAGCCGGGGAGGAAGCCGTGAAGAAGGAGCTGGAGAGGCTGAAAGATTAAGGCCCTATCCATTCCCTCAGCTGGGACGATGTCTTGCAACAGCCGCCTGGGGCAGTTGCAAGAAAGATTGCCGTCATTGTGAAACCGACAGAGCGGCCTGGACTTACAGGAAGCCAAAGGCACGCAGATGCGTTCTCAACCTCATTGTAAATCCAAAGGAGAGAGAAAGTATGTGATCGCAACACATGGTAAGGGCGCTTACTACTCGTATGCAGGAGTCCCTTTTTGGGGCTCGGGTCTCCTCCCCGTCAGATGGATTAGGGCCACACACACGGCCATCCAAGCAGGAATGCAGGTTTCCATCGATTCTAGCAAGCTAGACCAACTTGCCAGGCCCGAAACTTGCAAGGGGCTGATCCGGGCATCCGCTCCTTGGCGGGCAAAATGTCTTGGGTAGCAGGCCTGCTGCCCAGACCTCAATGCTCTGGGCAGCTTGTGGGGCGACGACCGCCTGCATGTACGGCAACATGGTCAAGCTTCCTCTCTTGCCGGGAGTGCAGTATGGGGGGCGTGGAGGGGCAGACCGCCAAATGACCGGCTTTCTCCTTTGAGCGTGGCGCCGTCAGTGCCACCAAGACACCTACATACCTTTTGAGCATACCCCGGACCTCAAATGAAAGGAATCTTCATGGGAAGCTTGGGGTATGCTCAGGGTATTCTTCTCTTTGTGGTATAAATCTACTTGCCCGGCGCGTCAATGAAGCCCCTGTCGCTGGCGCGTCATTCGTGCCACGCCAGATGGCTGGCTTTGCGGCTCCGGCTCCCACAGATCCAGGCACGGGTGCTCTGGAGCAGATCTTAGTCTTTGATGCTGGCAGCAGCGGCACGCGCGCCTTGCCGCAAACGTGGGTGTCCGGTCCCCTAGGTTAAAAGGGAAACCAAAGAGGAGCCAAGCATATTTGAAGCGCCCAAATCTTGAGACGCATTGCTCTTGCTTTGTTTGTGTTTTCCGGAAATGGCCGATCAGTTTGCGGCCCTTCGATTTTTCTGTTTCGGCATGAAAGAAAGGGATCGACCAACCGAAACGAGCCGGGGGTGGTGGGGGGGGGTAGTTCTTCTTGGCCACTGAGGCTTTGGGGTGTAGAGATGGCGTGTCGCTGCAACGGGTCGTTGAGTGTTGGGCTTGGTCCCGTTCCAAAGGCCTGAATTGCAAGAAGCTTTCGCAAGGCCTTTCTCCTGGTTCTTGCTAAGTACAAGGTGCTTTGCCGTGCTGATTTGTCCTTGAAGATTTTGCATGCCACAAAAGCGGGAAGGACGCGGGAAGAAATAGGAATGTGCTCGTTTAGCATGCTTATTGGGCATTTGCCATTTTGAATCATCATTTGCATATCATTTTACAACGCGTATTTCGGGGGGAGGGGGCACTTGGAGCGCTGGGTTGCCACGCGTGTTCAAAACAGCCGCTGTGGGCTGCCATTCTGATGAGGAATTCATGTCTTCAACATGCAGATGATACCAGGCACTCATGTGCCCAGACGCACAGCTGCAGACAGGGGGAGAGGCTGCCGCACAGGAAGTAGGAAGTTGCCAACAAAAGGTTGACGAGGGGCGTGAAGCAGCGTTGGGCCAACCCCTCGTTTAAACTTGTTTGAGCACCTTTTGTTTACAAGACCTTTGTTGTCGCTTGCCTTTAACTAATGGTGGCCGTGGTCTGGTTGAGAAAACAATGCTTGCGCAACCCGTTTTTTCAGCTTGCTACCGCCCAGGCTGGGCAGAAGCATGGACAATAGGTAGAGGTTCCATTCCTTCTGTCACGGAATGGCAACGTTTGGGGGCTTGAGCGAAACTGGCATTGGCGAGCAATTAACTGGTCAAAGTATTCACAATGGCTTTGGTAGCCCAAACTGGTGTTCTGAGGGTGGACAGCACATGTTTAACTATGGCTTGTGGTGCCATAACTGAATCAGGGCAGCCATACTCCAAGATTCCAAGAGGTAGCAACCGAATGATGCCTTCGGCGCATGCAGACGGTAATTACAGGCGCTACCAGTGGCAGCCGCTTGTTGGGGCACCGATTCTGCCCCACTTTCTGGAACCTGACCTGGCTTGGCAGCAGTGGCAGAACATATCTAGTCAGGTGCAAGTCCTGTGCATGACCATGACCCAACCATGCCCGCAAAATCAGATTATTAAGGCCGCGTTTGGAGGAAATCGAAGGCAGCAAAGCCTTACTCCCCCCATCGGTGCTTTCATTCCTGGAGGGCTCGGCTGACAATTGCCATCTGAGGGGTGGACTTGTCGGTGCGAGACGACCAGACCTTCAAGGTCAAGCCCGGGCTCTCGGAGTTTGCCAAGAAGGAGGACCTGAAAGGCCGGGCCTCGAACTTGCGATGCGGATGCAGACGGTTTTCGACAGTCCATTTGAGTCATTGTTACTGGCCTGGCTCGAGTTTGAGCTGGCAGGCTGCGAGGAAAACATCCAGAGCCTTGCAGCTCGGTTTTTTTAGTGCAAGTCGTGGAGCGGTCAGCGACGTTTGGGGATAACTTTGCTGAAGGCGACTGTTTTGGAGGGCGCCCGCCCTCCGCCCCTAATATGGAAGTTCATCGTGTAGTCATTCAAGAGTATGGGTTTCGGCGACTTTGGGGGGAGTAGTTTCACTGCCTTTTTCGTGCAGTCAACGGATGGATTTTCACATGTGAATTGGCATCATGAGGTGGGAACGCGTTCTAGCGTGGCGTGGTAGCATGAAGTGCCCGAGCGTGAATGGCGCAATGATGCGCAATGTCAAGGCTCCTTCTTTTTTTTTTGGGGGGGGGGGGGAACTTCAAGTGTCAGCTATGGCAACTCGCAGATGTTACAGATGCTCATTGTTTTCTCGGGCGGTAGTTCTAAAAAGGTTGTTGTAGGGCCCTTGGGCGCCGAGTGCTTCAGGTCGCATTCGCCAACAAATTTGTGGAGGAGAGCCGGCGGAAAGACACCCCCGTTCTGCTTAAGGCAAGGTGCGGGAATTGAGGGCCCAAAACTTATTCAACAACACCAAATCGATGATGGAAGCTATAAATGTATTTTTGTGTATACTGAACTACCGTGGCTTTGATTTTTTAATTGGCCAAGTTGTGCTGGGGCATTTTCACAGCAGCCCTTGGTCCGTTATCGCATTCCGTTGCTTGTGCCGCTTTCGCATTTCATTGGCATTCATTCCAACTGTGTGTGTGTGTGATTTGCGACGCGCATTGCAATACATGTCAGTGTGTGTCTTTGTGTGTGTGTGTGTCGTGAAATGAGTGTTTACCCGTATGACCGCGTGTCTATATGTCTACTGTTGTCCCCGTTCACATCTTCTATGAACACCGTTTCAGAGGTGAAGACCCAGAATCAGGCGATTCCCTCCTTTGGAAGACTTGGTTCGAGCTTTCGGCTGTTAGTCTGCGGGAGTTTAGAGGGCAAGGGCCAAAATTTGATATCTCTTCCGAAACTGCCGGCCAGATGGCGCAAGACAGTCTCAACACTTACAGTCTTGACGGCAGAAACGTGAAGCAGCACGTCAGAAAGCTGGATCACTTGCCTCGCATGCCTTGACAAGGCGCCAAATTGGAAGGAGCTTTAAAAGTTTTCCCAATGTACAGTAAGAATTTCGGATTGATCCAAATTAACATTGAGCTGCTGACAGTTGTGCTAGCTTTTCATCAATATAGGCACGTGCAGTGCATCTAGCCGCAAAGTAGGACGGGAGACACATGAGCACGTAGAAGACCGTTCACGCGTAGAGTGCGCATTTGGCAGCCACCCAAGCTGTGAGACAAATTTGACTTCGAATAGGAAGCCGGAGCCCGGCCAGCCAGCTTAGCCAGCTGTCCGACCCATCCGGCTCCGCACCTACCTGACCCGTGTCCACATGTTCACTTCACGAGGACAAGGGAGGCGCGCTGAAAGTCCCGCGACACCCTACAGTACATATCCCTGCTAACAATTTAACTGGAAAAAATGGAAACCCCCACTAAGCCTTAAAAACCTAAGGGGGACAGCTGGGAACCGACAAGCAAATCGACGGCCAACATGTTCGCCCCACGGAGCGCCGTTCTATTTCGCCCTGATTTTGAAAAGCAAAACAATAGGAGCGGTTGGAACCGGGGAGCATTTTGCCCCGTGCGCCAGGCGACGGCGGGCTTGCGCGCAGTGCCGGCAGAGCAGGCAGACGCAGTTCTGAACACAGTGCCTTGACATGAAAAGGTAAGTTTCGCCGAGGGAACACTTGAGCCACGTGCTCACAACCCAGGTAGATGAAGGTTTGTAAGGGAAATCCACTTGCCACAATTGGGTGCAGCCGCCTCTTTAATTCTTTATATGGGTCTGGGTAGACCATTTTTGATACCAGGTTTTGATTATGACTCACTTCCTCGGGTGCTTTTGAAGGGAATTCCATTAGAAACCTCTGGAGTTTCATTCAGTTGCATGACCTCCTTTCAGCCATTTAGGCAAGACCAATGTAAAGACGCCAACAAAGCTAAACGGGCCCCAACAATGGCATACGATCAAGAAGGACTACACGTTCCCAGGCGGCCAACAAGCTTGCAGGCTTGGTTTGATATTGATACATATTTGTTGTTTTGTTTCAACACAGGTCACTTCTTAGTTTTGTGAAGATGGTTGTCAAGCCAATTCTATGTTGTTTGAGATCCGTAAGTTTGTACTGGACTTGGTGTGGAATTCAGGCTGTACCCTTCCCCCAGCAACTCCCAACTGCCACCGAGTCAGAGCCGACAGGCAGCCCTAGGTCCAAGTGACGGCGGTGACGCTGAGCCCCAAGCAAAAACCTACCCCTACCAATAGCTTCCATCCTGAATGAATTGCTCTCCCTCCCATTTGCCATGAGCTGCCGTGCTTCTAGCGTTTGGCTTGCTTTTGCGTAAGCAAGAAAGCGCGCAGCCGAAATTGCCACAATTCCTCCAAATTGCAACTCACATTCACTTACTTGGTCTTTGTTGGGAAAGATTCCGAGAGCACTGTTCGTCATAATTATCGCAGTTCCTTCTAAGAACAAGTTTATCAGCACACTTGCATCGTTGAATCGCGATCGACGCTTTTAGCAAAACACCCTGAGGTCCGATCGACGCTGAGCGCCTCTGGCTACAAATTCCAAGAGGACCTGTTCGCCTAAGCATGGGACCCTCTGCCGGGGAGCGCTGGTCGGCAACCGGATTTGAAAGAAGACCACGTCGGTTTCTCCGTGCAAAAAGCACTGGGGCCACAGATGAGCCAAGACACGCCCTTGGGCCATGTCAAAGGCAACACCCTTGAAGTTTCCCCGTCTGACCATGATGGCAGCTTCTCCCTCGGTGGAAACGGGGATTATGTTTGTTCGGCGCGACCAAGTGGCCGGCCAACAATTGGTGCCTGGTTGTGCAGAGGGTCTGCATCAGCGCCATGCGGGTCTGATCATGATTAACAGCATCCACAGCAGTCGCCCTAAATGTGGCCTATCCCTCATTCAGCCCTGAATAAGGCCTTGTTAAGGGCTTCCTTGGCTCCCCATAGCCCCCCAAGGTTCCGGACCTTTGGAGTTCCCCGTTATACGAGCGAGCAGGTCCCTCATCTTTCCTCAGTCCAAGGTTGGCTGGCAGTCCAGCGGACCAGGGAATCTATGGCCAGAGGGGTTCATGGAGGTGCGCATGACTCTAAACCTCATGAATCGTTCAAACCTCCAGGTGTTATCCTAGGTTTAACCCGGGCTTATCCTACAGGCCTATCCTTTGCTCTCTTGACTCCCCTTGCATTCCCCTTCTTTCTTGCCCGTCCCTTTGGTCCCCCATCAGCCTCCTTCCACCCGACCATTTGCCACTTCAAGGTAAGACTTGGCCTCTAGCATGTATCTTGTCAGTTTGCATCAGTATTCGTTTAGAATGCATGTCTCACTGGTGCCTTTCCTTTCGTTTCCTCCCAGGCCCCTCCCACCAGGACTGGGTGGACATCATCAAGGGCAAGGAGGAGGCGGGGCTCGCCTGGATTGCGGCCAACTACCTGCAGGGAACCTTCCAGGCGCGAAGTGAGTTGGTCAGATTTGGTCCAGTCGGATCCTAAAGGATCCTAAAGGAACCTTGAGCCTCCAGAGTTCCAGGGTTTCGAACCTCCCAACTTCAGCATTTGGAACATAAAGCTTTCGAACTTTGGAGATCTCAAGTTTGAGGTCATGGGGTACAGCAGGGCTCGGACTTTGGGCAACTCTCAGGAAGTGAGAGAAAGGACGCAGCTTTTCAGGTTGATATGAAACTGAAGTGCATCAACCTTACCGGGAAATCGCCTCCTTGGGGGACCTCTCTTGGTGTGGCTTTGTGCAGAGGCAAAGGGGGCCTTTTGGATGCAACAGCGCAGAGAGAGGAAGGGAGGTAGGTAGGGAGGGAGGGAGGGAGGGAGAATGAGAGAGAAGGAGAGAGAGAAACAAACAACCGCAGAGAAAAATAGAGAAAGAGAGAACGAGAGAGAGCGAGAGAGGCAAGGGGAAGAGGAGCAAAGAGCAATAAAGGCCTAGAAACATATCGGTTGAAGGGGTAAGTGACAAAGGAATCAAATCCAAACAAAAAAAATATATTATGAAATATATCCAAGTAGCCATACGCGACACAGGCTCAGCAGTTCAGTTCTTCACGCTTTGTGGGCGCAGATCTTCTGACGTGTCTAGTGCGGATGTCGAGTTGGAGGAAGGGGTATCCAGTCGATCGCTCTTGTCGACTTTGGTATGTCCGTTTTTTTTCTGGCAATCCCCTTCTTGCTTCAGTGGGAAACCACCGATTTGGGTTCAGGATTTCCCATGCATGTGAGGAAGGCAGAGGGAGGCCAACTTTGGGAGGCGTGTCCCCATTCAGCGGGCCACACCGCTAAGCCGCTAAACCCCGTGAGGCGGGCGGGGCTTCTTTGGGCGTGATCGAGATGGGCGGCGGCTCCACACAGGTGACTCTCACCGAGACCTCCGGTGGGACGTGTCGTTCTTGCACAAGAGGGGCGAGTCTGGTTGAGCTCAACTGGTGCAGTAAGGGGCCTGTTTGGGGAATCCAGCCCTGCCATCGAAACGTTTCAAAAAGAATTTTGACTTGAACGTGGAACGGGCGCCATCCTTCCCCCCTCCCCAAAGGCCACTGGAAGGTGGTGCCTCGTTCCCGCCTTGTTTGGTGCGGAAATGATCTGCCTCCCAGCACAGAGGGCCACTGACATTGGCACAGGCCCGTTTTGGAGAACGAGTTCCTCTAACACGAGCCGGTGCACTTCCGTGTTGAGAAGTGCCCGGGGATGCCTATGATTTGTGTCCAATCACTTGGAGTCGGCTTCTTTATTGCAAGATCGGAGCTGACCTGCACTGTTTGGGTGGGTTGCACCTGCATCCTGGATGCCAGATTGCAAATTGCAAGTACCCTCTACTTGATAATACCTGATAGGTTATCCGTCAGAGGTCAGCATGATCAAGCTGGAACGGATTATATACACAGAAAGGAATCGAGGGAACTCAAGCAGTCAGCGCCTCGCAGAGCATTGCTGTTCAAATGGGAGGCAGTGACCGTACTTGAACCGTTTGGGAATAATCCCTGGTCGAATGGCTTGGAGCCTCAAAACTGTTGCACAAACCCACCAGTTGGGCGAGACCCTAAACTTCTGGGATAGCCATGTTCTAAGTGCTGCGGAGAGCATTTTGTCCAAAGGGTGCACCCTCATTGCACGGCCGCACTTGATTGCCTTCTGGACCCCTAGTGCGCGCCCGTTTTGGGGCCAACCTTCCAATACTTGTGGCAGAAGACTTGATAGCATCGGAAGGCTTCACTGCATGCAAAGTTGCCACCTGGGTTTCGGTGGAGGTGGCGAAAACAATGCCTCGAGCGATCCTTTGCCTCGGCCAACTTTTCCTGGTGCGATAGGTAGCGAGTGCAGGAATGAACCCAGGGTCCCTTGATGGTTAATTTTGGGTGATGTCCTCATTCCCTGCTGAGAGAGACAAGTAAGGTCTCCTTCGAGCTTCAGCCTGGAGAGAAGGCTCGCGCAATCTCATGGTGTTCGCTTGTTTGGGACAGACCCGTTTGCTCAGCTTGCACTCGGATCTGTGAGATTGATCTAGTTACTCACGCACAGAGCTCACATGAGCTCACCAAAAGAGGCGCCCGGAAGTGCAGTTTTGAGGGCTCTGTGCATTTTGCCCAACAGAAACCTTCCTCATGGGATGATATGTTGGTTGGGCATATGCGGAAATTGCGGATACGGGGTGAATTCCAACACACCCAGGCCAAGTCTGACTCTCCATGCCCAAGCGTTTCGAACCGAAAGCCGCTCCAAAAAACCTGCCCTCTCCTGAAAAGTGGTTTCGTTGTATGCGGTGCTGGGGTTGCCTTTTCAAATGTGCGCTGGACGAGACGCAGTCACTCCTTTGCAGTCTTGCTGCGCTTTCCAGAGCCAGATGGCTTCACATGGCCCCTGGAGAATGCCTTGGCTCAGTGCAGCAGCTTTCCGATGATTCCCCCTGCGCTCCAATCATGAGAGGCAACCAAAAAACGCTGATATGCCACTGAAGCCGCGGCAAGCGCCATCTGATTAAATCACCTTGTCCATTTGATGTGCGACTGCTGGCTTATTGAGGTTGCCTCACTGTAACAGACCAGCTTGGCAGTCAGGGACGTCCGGTGTCAACCTGTGTGCCTTTTGTTTGCTGTTTTGGCAGGACAACGCCGCGGACAACGACTACTTCGAGTTCCGCACTGCAATGGGTCAGGCCGGGCCTATTTTGTCGGAACCCAGTGCTTGGTAGCCAACCGGCATTCTGCAATTTTGTGTCGAAACCCAGCTAGTCAACATGAAGTAGTTCAAGGCCCTGTGCGAGGGAACATGACATCTCAAAACAGGCAATGCCGCATGCCGGCTGCTGCTCCCGACGAAAGCTAGGTGGACACATCCTTGCGCAGCAAAGGTTGGAGCAGCGGAATTTTGACATGTTCCATCATTTTCCCCTGTCAACTGAATAATAACCATCCTCTTTTTAGGGAGCCAGAAACCCGGAGCTGTGTCGGTGGTTCCTCGCAGCTCAGTGCGCGCGCATCGCCCCCGTTCGTCACTGAAGGCCCCGCCAGTAGGGGCAGTGAACAGCCGCTGCACTTTTTCTGAGTATTACCAGTGGAGGATTAGACGACTCGTAACCCATAGGAAAAGCAATTTGGAAGAACTGATGGGGCCTAAGAGTTGGGAGGTGTGAGAAAAGTGGGAGACTGGGAATGAGTGAGATTGTCACAAATGAAACAGGCTGCATCAAGAAATGTTGTCTTTTCAATGACAACCTCTTTGTATTCCAATCTGCCGCACTCACCAGTGTACGAACAAGACATGCCAAGGACTTCTGTTCTCGAATTCAGTGTTAAATCCAGTAAGAATGTCAAAATGCGTCATGTTTGGTCTAGCTGGATTCCTCACCTTGCAAGGGGCACTGTGGATCTGAGCGAGCTTTCCTGCACCCCTGTCCTGTGACTTCCACCGAGAACTTGGCATCCATGTTTCCAGAGGCTCCGTTTCCCAACCGCTGAACGCTCGCCTTGTTGAAGTCCGTGTTGATCCGGCACTGGTGCTCAAGGCGTGCAACCTTGCAGGGGTGTATAAGAATAGTAAGCCGTGCCAGATTTGAGGCCAGATTTCCGTTTTGCGGCAGGGTTCTTGTTGACTAGCTTCTTTGGTTGAAACCTCCAAAAGTGGCAGCTTCAATGGAAACGCATCAGTAAGTTACAACTTTGAAGGGAAATCCAGTATCCCCTGTTGCTTCATGGTTTTGGCCGGTGCTGTTCGGTGTTTTTCTTGCGTGGGGGGATTTGGCCCAGGCCACCGCACGCCATTACAGGTTGCGAATGAGACTACGGATTTGTTCATTTTGACAACGTGCTGAATTACTTGCACTTTGATATTTCATTTCCCACGAACCCCTACCTGCGCGCTCGCAGGTGTACTCGCTCTACGCGCACAGCTACTTAGGCCGCCCAAGCGATGACGTGAAGCATGGGTCGGTTGAAAGTTGAAAATAGCAAGCCCCCACTTTTGTGGGATGCCTTCCCAAACCAGCCCCCCTGCAAGGTGTCCCTAATTTTCAGCAACACCTCAATGACACTTGCTGGTCATTTTTTGGCTTTAAAGAGGGAGCCTTTGGGAGCTACCGGGCCATGGTAGGACACCGGCGGCCTTTTGTGGCGTGGTGCGAGGCCGACTGCAAGTGTTTCCTGAATTGAGGGGGTGTTTTGTGAGGTGGCCTTTCTGAAAATGTTGCCTTTTTCCCTACAGCTGAAAGTTATGACCCAGAGAAGCTGTGGGGTGGTTTGGGGCAGGTTTCAGGGAGCGTTCAAAAGGAGGTTTCCAGGGTTCCGGGCTGTTGGGGATGCCACTGGGACTTCTTTTTTTGAGGGACATGACACCACCTTATGGGGTCACCCCCGAAATTGTGTTTTCCTTTTGGTTTCCCTTTAACAGCCACAAAAGAGATGGTTACCAACTCAAACACCAAAGGTCGTTTTGGAGGGTCACCTGCTCATGGACCCCTAAGGAGGGGGCGCTATCCCTGAAAAAAGCCTTGGCTTATCCAGGGGTAGCCCCCCCCATAACCGCCCCCAGGGGTCCATGACCTGCCCCTCGCTTCGCCTTCCTTTTTCGCGAGGCTTTGGCCAGGACTATGCCCAGAGCAAGCTGCAAGACTGCATGAGCGACGAGGCGAATTCGCGCAGCGGCCGGTCGATTCGGCACGGTGCGATCGATTCGTGCGTCGGGCAAGTGGGTGCAATAGCCAGGGTTGAAACCCACAAAAGCCAGGAGATGCCCCGGCAAAGAAGAACAAACACAAAAGCCATGGTTATGAGTCGTTCCCTGAATGGGTTTCAAATGACCAAGGGAGTACTTAAAGAGGCGATCGATTCGGTACTTCAGGTATGTGGTGAATAATGGTTGTAGCCCTCTAGCCAGGCTTCTTCGGTTTCAGCCATGAATAAGGGTAACTTTTCACAATTTAGTAGGCCACATTATTTTTTAGTGGTTTCCGCCATGGTCATCCCATGTAAAAGACCTTCTGATCAACCCCAGTTGTTTTCAGCGCAGCCTCAGCCTGCAGATGGGGTAGCTTTCCCGTGGGAACCACCAAAGTACCCTGCAGGAAATGCTGTTTGCCAAGGACGAACAAATCACGGGAAACAGCTGGTTCTGAAAAGAGCGTTGGTTGATCAGAAAACGGAATCGGATAGGAGTTGGCACTAGCCAGATTCCACAAGGTAGGGTCAATTCTGACGGGCGGGATGAACAGAGGCGGTATGATACCTTCCAACCAGAAACTTTTGCCTGAAGCCCATTCGTAGATACAGTGTTCCATCCTGACAGCTGTTTTCCATTCACCGCTCACGTTTACATGTGGCTCTTGCAATTTTTGTGTCGCAAGTGCATTCATGCTGCATTTCATTGAGCCTTTGTGAAACATGTCTCCTGCGCAGTGGAGTCTTTTTTCCGAGTGACCCCAACAATACCCCACAACGTGTTCGTTTCTCCTCAAGGGCAAGCCAATAGGAGCCTGAAATATGTCATCACAAAATTCACCAAAAGGGAAGCCAACTATGCCAGTATGCTCATCATTGTTCATCTTTCTTCCATTTCTCGAGTTTGGATCACGTTGAATGTTTTTTCAGCACCCAGTTGGTCCGGTGGCCCCTGCAAGCACCCAGAGCGGCACTCAACCCCAACCCCCCACCCCACCCAAGGCCCGACCAAACCCGCCATCCCCAACTCCCACCCCAATTCCACCCCATTCAGCCCACACTCCCGCGGCGCCACTTGCGAGGCGCGAAGTGACCCCTGCTACCCCCGTGGCTACAGCCGGGTGAACCGCCTGGGGGCGCGCCTGGATGGCCAGGGTGACGCTCCCACCTGCCACGTGGCAGTGCAGTTGCGCCAATGCGTCTTTTCCTTTGGTCCGTCTTGTATTTTTATCTTTTTTTTGTTTGTGCGGGGGGAGGGGGGGGCGACCCAAAATGACGGTGTTCCATTGTCTTCAAGTTGCTGAAATACATGTGTTGTTATTTTCTCCTGTTGCTTTTTTTGTGGAATATATATCACTATAGGATGTGTTGTTTGTGGGGATTCAAGCAAATGGACGTCGTGTGTATGGCTTCCACACTGAAAATCGTCAACCACAGAAAGGGGTCCCTTGTTTCTACCAGGCTAAGTGGATTTTGTTGAGTGACGGCGAAGCTAGGGGCCGTTTTGTTTGTTTGATTTTTTGTTGGGGCCCTTTGACAGGCACGGGTGCTGGTTGGGAAGCTGACAAATCCGCTTAGTGGTGCAAAGGAGGACTGATGACTTGCTTCCAAGGCCTTATCAGGGTGGCCTGAGTGCAACTGCTCAGGCGTGATGAAACAGTTGCAAATCTAGGTGTAGCGGTTTGGCCGGGTTTGGCAACATGGGAAAAAGGGTCCTTTAGGGAGACCTCCGGACTTGTCCAACACATGGAGTCGATCTTAGGCGAAACCAACATCCAGTCCCTGCTCTTCAAGGCCGGAGGGAGCGTGTTTGCCGTCGGAAACATAGGCCTGGCTGAAGGGTAAATGAAAGGAAGTCGTTGCGGTCGAACTCAACCGGGACAATGTTGCTTGCAAGCCGCACGCGCGAAAATTACTGGGACCCTTGATTTCTGCCTTGGTGCAAGGGCACGAAGAGGCCATGGTACCTGGTAAAATGGTGTTTGCTCTGTGATCATGCCTTACTGGTTTCACTTCGTGCCACAACCGCGTTCCAATCCTCTTCCTATAGCGCCAAGTTTGGTGAGCAGCCCTAGATCGCGTTCGAGACTCTTTTCGAAAGGAAAGGCCACCGTGACCTTTTGAGACACACGTCTACTGGACTGTTGGAAGGTTCCTTCGGCACGCAGAGGGGGCGCAGGGTCCCCGGCTTTCGCAGGAAGACACGGCGCCGGGCCGATACGCACACGAGCTGCGGCCCCGGGGCTCAATGATCGCCACCGCGGCTTGGGCCAAAGCCATTGGGATTTTCGGTGGATTGGGGGGTCTCAGCCATATGGGTGGCTCGTCCTTTTTTTGTTAAGATACAAAACACCACGTCTTTTGCCTTTTGGTTGGCTTCAAAGGGAAGGAAAAAGGGAAACCCACCATTTTGGGGGTCCCCGATTTTGAGACAAGCTGGTATTCTTGGATTTCAGGGTGGTAGATGGATTTAAGACGTTTCCCTTTTGTTTCTTGGAGCCACCAAGTCTTCAATTGTATTTGTTTTTGGGGGGGGTGGTGGACTGGATGAGATCAATCCGAAGCAAGTTCCAATTCTTTTCCGCCAGGGTAGGCCACTCATGGTTCACTGGCCCGATGGCCAATTAAAGAACCCAAAAGCAGCCAAGCGATGGAGAGAGACTTGCTGGTGCGATAGGTAGGCAATTGAGTTCATTTACCCCTATAAACCATCCCCTGTGGCTTCCTAGGGAATCCCAGGTTCATTCCCTCATTCTCTACTGAGCAGGAGTGGAGAGATGGAAAGCGAGTGCCAGGATTGCACATGTTGTGGGATGCCATGAAAACCTTTGCCCAAAGTTGTGGTGTGTGTGTGTGTGTGCTGTGTTTTGCGCGCATGTCCTTGGAACTGAGCAACAGCAAATCCTTCGGGCCACTCGCACGGGCCCCCATGTCGCACAACTGACCCGGTCAAAGCAAAGACCCGTTGTTGGGTCTCATACCGAACGAATTCTAAAAGAAAACTGACCATTGCAGGGCATGGTTTTTGCACGACCACGCAGCTAGACATTCGCTATTTGGAGGGTGGGCATATGTGGGCATGAAATTAGCGCGGGGAGGAGTTGCATACTGCATACTCTGGGAATCCCTGGTTTCGATTCAGATCCATAAACATATTGCGAAGTTGTGAGGGCATCCCCGCCCAAGGAGAACTTTTTCTATGTGAGGAAGGACCTGAATTTGCAGGCGGCAGCTTGGCAGCAAAAATTGGTCCGACCACTGGCAGGGCCTTGTACCGCACATGGATAATGTTGAATGCCCTGCTTGCAGCATGTATCGCCAGCAGCAGTCTGCTTTGCTGGATGCTTAGCTGTGCTGTGTTGTGCTGCCTTTTTGGGTGCCTGACGGTTCTTCGTCCGACTGGGGTTCTACCTTCCCAACACTGAATCCAAGAGCACGTTGTTTTGCCATTTGCTGTTGAAGTGGCAGTTTGGCAAATGAAACTCGACTGTCGCTGCCACAACCAGGGCCGCGGGACTGCACCTTTATGGCAGAGGTGGAGGTATTGCTGCTTGCTGGAGCGAAACGCAGGATTTGACCGGCACAAGGCATCTGTGTTTTCAAAGCAGATAAAGCAACAGTGTCAACGCTCCCTTTGTTTGCAACGCTGCGAAGCGCCCACATAGCTTCGAGGTGTTTGCCACAAACTTGTGAGTCGTCATAGAAGGGACCCACAAGCCGTTTCATGCCTAGTCATTCTTAGAATGTCATACCCTTCAGGCTGTTATGGCGAACATGGGTTGGAATAAGATTTGTCTCATGCCACCTCCTTCCAGTATTGGGTGGCTTTTTCATGGCTGTTCTCAAAACTGTGAACTTGCTGACTGTGACAAAAACATCTTGCCCGACTATGCACTATGGCCAACAAATGGACTTTGGTAAAAGACCAACAACTTGAGGCTCAATTAGTCAGACCCTCCCCTCCCTCCTTCCCTCCCTTCCCTCCCTTCCCTCCCTCACTTCCTTACCTCCCCTCCTTCCCCCAGTTCCGTGCTGCTGCCTTTGCCAACCGCCCCCTGCCGAGGAGGGCGTGTGCCCCAGCGAGGCGGAGGCACGGGAGGCGTGCGGCAAAGACCTGGCGGGTGGAACCAGCGAGCGGGGCTGCTTCGCTCTCTCCTACCAGTCACTCGGCGCGGCTTTCTGGGGCGCAGCTTGCACGTGGTTCCAATTTTCCTTTGGAAAGACGAGCCAACATGGACAGGAGTCGGGGCTTGCACAAATTCGCTGTATTATAGGCTGTATAGGCAGGTGCCCTTTCCGTACATCGCCTCAGCCTTTGCCGCATGATGGACCAATTGACTGACTATGGATGGACGTTGCACAGGCAGGTTGTTTCCTTTGCTTGGTTGTTCTTGGGTCGGACCACAGGAACCATTGACTTAGCTGAACACAGCAAAAGCAAGTTCAGATTTTCGGGCACATGTGCTGGGTACAGCGAGGGTTCGAGATTCCTAGTGTGTAAACTTCGGGGGGCACAGAGGATAATGTCAAGCCCGGATGAATCAAGTAATGGTATTAAACCGTCCCCGGCCCCACAAGGCCCCCCCCCAATACCAAACAATTTGAACAACTGGAGCCACAAAAAAGCACCTGTTATTAAACCGGGCTTCACAAGGGACCTTAAATCTCCGGAAGCCCCGGCCCCACCCTTTTTAGAAAGTTCAATTCCCCAAGAATCCGTGGTGATGCGGCTGCTATGATTTTGTCCACGTTGCCTAAACCTTGCTGACACGTGCTTTCCATTTGCTTTACAATGCCAAGAAGAGCGGCCGGTGCCAGCTTTGCACTGGTACCAGCACAGCCACGAAGCATTGCCAAGCCAACACAAACATCAACCAGAACTCCCTGAAATCCAAACTGTGTGGCTTTCTGAAAGTGCAATTTCTTTGTTAAGTCCTTTTCAAGGCGTGATGGATTGAAGGTCACATGAGGTACCTCACACGACTGCCCAGCTGATGTTAATAATGTGGGTTCGTATGTTATTAATTTCGGCCATTTGGGCTGCACCCAATTGTGAGCTCCAACATTACAAAATCAAAGGGAATGTAGTAAATCGATTGGAAAGTGAAATTTCAACAATGCTAAAACAACGAAGCTCGAGCAAAACTAAATCAAATGGAAACAAGGACCGAAGCTCCTTTTGGAATGCATCTGGAGTTCTGGGATCCTGATTCCCAATTCAAAAAGTAGTATTGCCCAATACCTAAAGTACGTAAAGTAGACCTTCCAGATAGACATGGTGCCAGGCTCTTTTTTTTGGGAGCCCAACAACCTTCTCAAGCGGAGGGGGTATTGATCCGGTGTAAACATTGTCTACAAAGAGGATCTGTTTAAAGCAGGGTGAAAAAGCCAGCGTTAGCGCTTTGGGGAAATCCTCCCAGCTTGACCTTCGGGCGAGAATCTGGAACTCATTCTTTTGCCTCGAGCTGGGGGGGGGGGGGAGGAACTGTTTAGACATCCCATAAATCCTTTGGAAGTGGACGTTGAGGGGTGGGCGCAAAGTGAAAGGGGATCTACATGGAACACTGTGGGGCAATGAAGAAGGAGGATTTTGTTTGTGTTTGATAGCCATTAGCTTGCATTCACCTCCAGGTGCCAGCTTTGCAGGTAGCCACGGGAATGCATGTTTTACAGACCGAAAGTGGGTCGGGTTGCCTCCTGGTGAGCAGTGAAGCTGGAAGCTCGGAGCTCGTTTGCCATGGGCGACAGTGGTATCCAGTGGTTTGAAGGACGCATCCGAAAGATCCATTAGACGCCCAGATGGTTTGAAGCATCCATCAAGCATCTCCAGTGGTTTGAAGTATCCACTGGTTTGAAAGAAACCCAAGAGACACGCACTTAGCTGCTTCGTGCCGCTTGAGGAGAGCCTTCCTCTCTGCGCTGCAAGCCCTCGACCAAGGCTGGGCACTCACCAGGTTGCTGAACATCGGAGCGGGTGGCCTCTGACGTGGGCGCCCCCACCCGGCACCCCACCCAAATTTCTCACACAAGCCGCTTTGTTTGCAGCCAGCCGGGCTTTTGAACAGCCAAAGCCAGAAGTTCACTTGGACTCCAACTGACAATTGCGTTCGTTGGCCCGCAGAAACTGTGCTTAGCCTTTATGAAAGACTGAAAGGCCGTGAGAAGAACAAGGAGGGTGGAGGGGGTGGTTGGTCAAGTTCAGCGTTGCCAGCTTAAACAAAGCGTTTCGGGCAGTGCCTGCATTCCATGGTTGAGAACCACCCGGCCCCAAATTCGCTGGGTGTTGGGCCCGACACGAGGATCTGGAAATAATATCCATAATCGGTTTGGCACAATCATTTGCACATTCACCTTCTACGAGACAAGCGCATTGGTTTCAGTGAAGCCTGATGAAGGGGAAGCCTCTTGTTTTTGTGCTCCTTACTTGGACGCGGTCATGAATGCACTCGGAAAGTGGTTAGTCCCTTTCTATCTCCAATATGTGCGCCTCGAAATGGCGCCGCACCTCTGTTTCAAGGCAGCGCCCTTTTTTTTGGTCTGGCCACCTCGCTGACACCTCCAACCCAGACGGAGCCGGAGAAATCCAGGTTTGGGTCCCAAATGCAGATGCACCTCTTCACATTCGATATTAGTTGCAGACAATAATATATGTGTATATATGCATACACACATAGTAGGATTTATGTATTATGATATGTGTGAAGTTTTTGTGGGTATGCACATATGTACATGTACATATATATATATTTACACGCTGACGCGACACAGCCGGCCACCGGGCACCTGGCCCTGCCTGTTCTGTCACTTCCCTGTCCTTTAATTCGGATGAGATGCCGAGATTTGAACCTCACTTCCTTTGCGCGTCTTTCCTGCAACTTTGAGAGTTTCCTGGCATTTCCCTTTGCTTCCTGTGCGTTTGAGCTCCCTGCACTTCCTTGAGCGCCGTGTCAGTCGCATTTCTCCCCCCTGTAAGCACCCCAGCGCGAAGCCTTGTGCAAACTGCTCGACAGCTAAAACCACAGAAGCGCGCCAACACGCTAAACCCACATGCGCAGGTTGAAGCAGCATGCACGCGCTAGAACGGAAACAGGGCGGGGCGCTTCTCAGTCATGTGCCTCTGCAGACATGGAGAAGAAGCAGCAGTCGCGATTGCAAACGCGCTCGAAAGGGAGGAGGCGGCAAGTTGCCCACAGGGCGCTTCTCAGTCATAGACCGCTTCAGCCATGGAGAAAAGGCGATGGTCGCGCCAGCCAGGGAATGCGCATGGTGTGAGAGCCGAAAAGGCCGCAGTTGCTTCCGTTGGATGTTTCCCGCCCTGTCACTTCATTTTCCTGCATTTGAAGTGTCATCTGTTTCACTGCCCTTCAGTCGCTACTCGTCATCTACCGGAAAGTTGCCCGCAGGGTGCTTCCAAGTCGAAAAAGAAGTGGAAGGAGGGCGGGGGCCAGCCCGTCAGGCCCGCTCCTGCACTTCCAGTCCCTGCACGTCCTTGCCTTTCCTGTTACTTGAGCCCCGTCCAGGTTCCCATCCATGTCCGAGCCATCCCATCTGCTTTCTCCTTTAGTGTACTTTGTTTTTTTAGTTGCCATCAATCATCCATCCATTTTCCACCAGTTCCATCCCTTCCATACATTATTATGCATCCATTCTCCAACACTGTTCCACCCGCTTCCACAAGCTGCCAGCAGTGTCGCCATGCATGTTGCAAGAGCAGTTTGGCAGTTGTAAGGGAAGCCGAGTGAAGCTAAGGGACGCCAGACAGCACAAGCAGATTGATCACCCCGCATCAGTTGACCGCGCGCTGCACAGCGTCGCAAGGCATTTTGCAAGCGCAGTTTGGCAGTTTTAAGGGAGGCCGAGTGAAGCCAAGGGAGCGCCTGAAAATGTTCGTTGCACAAGCAGCAGCATGTTTCACATAGCAGCCACCAATAATGTTCATCGTGCTTGCAGCAACATGTTTCACGCGGCAGCTCTTGATGACGTTCGCCGCAGAAGCAGCAACATTTCTCGCGCAGCAGCTTTCAAAAACATTCGTCGCATCAGCAGCAACATGTGTCACGCAACAGCCACGTCGGACTAGCAGCAATCACACAACAGATTCGTCGCACTAGCTGCGATGGAACTTTTTTTTTTGTCGCAAAGCCTTGCAGGCTATTTACAAGGGACAAAAAAAGCAACAGTAGGAAGCAAGGTCCACTTCAGTAACAAGCCCTTGGCTTGGCGCCAGGTTTTTGGAAACCAGCTCTGCGGGCAAGCCAACCCTCGAACCGTTTCAGCCAAGCAAAGCGCCGCAAACAAACCTGCCGTTGAGGGTTGTTTCAATAGTCTGGTTTCACCTGAACGTGGCGCGACTCTTTCACTGTAAGACACGAAAAAAAGAATATGAAAACACCTTGGGACTGTCACATGTTGCGCATGATTACTCACAAAGGCAGGGCCAACTTGCGGTGCTTCTCTCGCAGCAGTTGCAGCTCGCAGCTCAGACTTGTCCAAACTGTTAGACAGCTGGGGCCGCGCCCGAAACACGCCAACAGGCTTCAGCCACAGGAGTCAAGCATCACGCACGGTCTAGCGCCGGAAGAAGGGGAAAGTTGCCCGCGGGGCGGACAAGGAGCTGCAGGCTGGTGACAGTTGCGCATGGGGCGCTGGTAAGTGATTTAGCAGCGCATGGCAAGTGGGGCTGGGCACAGAGCCGGGGGTGTAGTCGTGGCAGTTCCTGGAGATGGCTGGTGCCTCTTCCATGCGGTGGCAAGGTACGGGGCCAGGCCTGGAGCAGGTGCTAGGCCGCGCTGGTGTCTGCGTGCTGCAGCGGAGATCTACTTGCAGGCGCTAGAGTGGCTGTGGGCGGCGCTGGCTGGACCAGATGCCGCAGCAACTGAAGCAGCTTGCGTGCCAGAAACGGAGGCGGAGTTGGAGCGACACCGAGACTTCGTTCGACGGCGCGGTGGCGTGGAGGCACAGGTTCCAGACGCCAAGCTGGTGCTGTGGAGTAAGGTGCTGGCTGTGGTGGAGCAGCCTAACGGTCTGGACTCCTTCCATCATGGGACCAGCGCAGAATTGTGGGCGCTCACCCAGCAGTTCGACTTCGATGCTATAGTATGGAGCGGCGTCCCTGACGCGAACTACTGGGCACGAACTCAGACTCGTGTCACGGACGAAGAATGCCGGACGGCAGTGGCTCGGCTCCCGACCGTGCTGCAGCTGCTGCACCGAGAGATCGGCAACGTGGGGCACTATGATCTGCTCGGGACCGATGCCGTGTCTCCGCAGCCGTTTGCGCGGACACCTTGGGTGAGGCGGTGGGCCGAAGGCGGCAGTGAAGCCATGTGGGAAGTGCTAGGCATGCCAAGGCGGCCCGAGCGCATCCATGCTCCAATTCCTGAAGTGGAGGCGGACGTCTGGTCCGAGCCAGAAACCAAGTGTGACGTGGTCTTGTCAGACAAAAACTCTGACAAAATAGACATGGAAACCGATAGTGTGCCAAGGCAGCCCGAGCGCATCCATGCTCCAATTCCTGAAGCGGAGGCGGACGTCTGGTCCGAGCCAGAAACCAACAGTGACGTGCCCTTGTCAGACAAAAACTCTGACAAAATAGAGATGGAAACCGATAGTGTGCAGTCGTGGGACTCGCAGGATGCCAGCGACGAAGCTGAAGAGCTCGGCCCGGTGGCGGTGGAAGCCAGCAAGACGTGGACCACCCTGGAAGACACAGACGTCCACCTTGCCGAGCAAGTGGCATCCCTGCTGCGGCCGACGCCGCTGCTGCCGCCGCCGCTCCCGGCCTGGAGTGCCAGCATGTGCGCGCCTGCCTCAGGAATAGTCTACCCCGCCGTGCATTGCGCGTTTGCAGGCTGCGCTTGGTGCAGCGAGATGCAGCCGTGTCAAGAGGCCTCGGGGCACGCTGGAGCGTGGGTGGTGCCAGACTTACACTGGACTCGCCTGAGTGGCGCCTGCTGCGGCAAGGCGAACACGTGTCTCTGGGCTCACTTGGCCGCGTGCCACTGGGACAGCCTGTGTGCCGGCCAGGCAGGGCAGGAGTGGTGGCAGGCCAAGAGCCGGTACATGCGAGCCCTCGTTTGCCGAGAGGAGGCATCCGTGCCTGCAGTGGGCTGGAGCGTGGATCGGCGCACGCTACGCCGTCTCCGACAGGAGAGGCGCGAGGAGCACTGCGTGGCCTTGGTGTGCGCCTGTTGCGCGGGAGTGCAGCCTGGAGGTCCTAATGGCAACGTAGGATACGTGTCAGTGCGCGAGCTGTTCACAACCGTGTCAGCCGAGAGCTTTGCCGCGAACTGGAGCTTGACAGAGTACATTCGCAAGTACGGCGAGCACGCGGCCGTGAGAGATCGGCTTCCGGAGCAGGATTGGCAGCTGTCGCTGCCGCCCGATCTGTTTGAGGGGCAGCGAATTCTGTGCTGCCCAGAAGACCGCGTGTGTGCCGCGTGTCCAGCCACGCAAGAGCAACTGTGCGCTGAGTGCAAGCTGCCACTGTGCCGGACATGCTGGAGCCGCTTGCGGCAGAGCACGTGCCCGCAAGTCCCGCAAGCTCTTGCCAATGACAACTGGTACGGGTATCCTCTGAATTTCTTATATCAAGAAAAGGTGCGGTGGATTGAGGCCGCGGCAGCATGTCCCGTGTGGACGTCCGTGGTGAGTTTCTATATAGAGGAAGATCGCGGGCACCTGATGGAGGAGGAGCTGCATCGCAGCGACTTCCGCGTGGCCGTGCGAGGCAATGTTAGCTCCTTCAGCATGCCTTGGGAGGAGATCTACGGCAGTCTCCACCGCTTGGGGGCGGAGGCTGTGCTGCATCAGCTGCCGCACGCAGTCCCGGTGCTCAACACCATGATGAAGTTGACAATCAAGGGCATGCGGCACGCCGAGATCGTGGAGTGGGTGGCTGGTGCAAAGCTGCGCCCGTGGATCGTCGTGAGGTTGTTG